GACACCCACTTTCACAGCCCTCAGCTCTCCCGCGGCTCCTGCCCCGGGCTCGCCAAGGCTGCTCCCGTTAGAACCACCTGGGGGCTTTAAGAAACCCTGGTGTCCAGGCGGCACCCGACCTGTTCAATCAAAACGGGGTGCAGGACCTGGGCGTCAGCGTCTTGCACAGCTTCCCAGGTGAATCCAGTGTCCTTTCGGGGTTGCAGACCACGACCCAGCCGCGGGCTCCTCAAACTACTAGGCATTGAGGTCACCTGGGAGCTTTTTAACATGCAGGTTCCCGGCCAGTAGGTCTGGGGCGGGGCCTGGGGGCCTGCATTTCTAAGGAGCTCCCAGGTGAATTGCAGGCTGTTGGTCTGAGGGTCACACCTGGAGCTGCAAGACACCAACGCTCCTTGTCCCTTCACCCTTTCTCTCGCATCACATTAGAGAAGGGGGCTTTGGGGCAGGGGTTTGAACCCCACCTCTTGGGGGAACTGTACCCCAGGTCTCCGTGTGTAAAATAGTGACGATCAGCTGTACTAGTGGCTAAGCTCTCCACTGCGCCCCCCATGACAGTCTGCTGGGAATGACAGAGCAGGGGAAGTAAGGAGCCTTCTGGTTCCTCCTTCCTCTTCTCCCTTACAGGACTGGGTTGGAAGCCAGAACACTCCACTCTCCTGGGGGAAGAAGGGGTGCAGAAAGGAAGGGGAGGCCAGTTGTGGGAGTTGGAGGAAGGGGGGAGGGGAGGGGGGTCAGCATGAGAGCCCTCAGGAGAGTGGTGGGGCCATTCACGTTGATGGTGGACCCCTCCCTTGGTATGGCTCTCCCCAGCCGCCAGCCAGGATGTGTCTCTGCTCACCTAAACATCAAAAGGCCTTTCAAAATGCGAGCTAAACGAGCTATTATTGAGATCAGTAATAATAGCTGTTCAGGAATCGTTAATTCAGGCCAAAGCCCAAATAATGTTCCGATTCGGACACAAAGAGAAGGGGGAGGGTGAACCGTGGCATCAACAGAAGGGAGGTATTTCTGTCGGCGTAGTTAACATAGTGATATTCTAACCAATGTTTTTAAATTTTCAA